GCTCCTTAATAGTTTAACAGTTCTGTAAGGTGCAGGTAATGACAGCAGCAGGCTTGAGAAAATGACAGTAATATTTCCAAAGGAATAAAGAGAGACCATAGTCCAGAGAAAATGATACTGTGAAAGCAGTTATCTATTTTGTTATTAAATATTTTACAAGCCTTTACCTTAATCTGGCTTGAAACAAAGATGATATGTAGATAGCAAGCTAACAGTTCATTTTTCTAGGTGAACCTTAAATATCAGTTACTAGAATATGTAGAATATCAAGAATCCTAATAATAATACCTAAATTATTATCAGCAATAATAATAGCAACAACAACAGTAAAATCTCCAAAGTATCTAACTACTATCACAGTATACCTCTGCTGAGCAATGTTAGGAACTGTTGAAGGGGGAGTCTTTATGGAAGCACTGTCTTCCAGTAAACAAGGTCAACCAGTAGAAGTTCCTCAACCCTTGCTATAGTAGAAGAAGTATCTGAACTCTGAGGGTGTTCTAAGAATTTGAAACACCATCCACTTTATTCCAGTCCTTTCTTTTCTTACAGTCTACCTCAGCTTATGAAAAAGGTAGCTATCTAATACAAAGGGGGGAAATTCTCAATTTTAGACTGTTAGCATCTGCTCGGAGATATTGCAGATTGGTAAAATTATCTTCAATAAAAGTATTAGCAATTTGTCAACAGTATTGGTGACTAAATGTCCCTCAAATATCTGGCTCAGTTTATTATGGAGGTTAATTCCCAAAATATCACATTCCCAATACCACCTATCAAAGGGATGTCATGTATCCATAGGTATGTGGATGGAACATGTAATTCAGGATGTGATAATGGATCCTGACATTGCAAATACTGAATATTTTTCTCCTGTTTATCTTTAATATGTGCTTGTCATTGGCATTAGCTATCACATTATTCTAATTGGAGACAAAGTCCTAGCTTATGTGAATTCTTCCTACCACAAAAGGACAACTGATTTATTCTATGCTAATTATACAAGTTTATTGGTGCCTTTTCTTGGAAGCCTTACATTTCCTTTTTTAATATTTCATTATTAACTCCACAAAGCATTCAGCTGAAAAAGTGAAAAATATTGAAAAAACTTTCTCATGGACCTGTTTTTTTCCTCTAGCTTCTTGCACCATTTCATGATCCATTGTGACTCTTAATATTTTCATGGGAATAAGAGGAAAGGCAATGGCAAGCATCTAAGAAAACAAATGAACATGAGGACTTTCATCAGATACAAGTTAGTGAAAATGGGAATGGTGAAAAATGCAAATAATTTGCTCTGGTTTTTTTCCAGAAGTATGATAAAACTAGGCAAAAATCTAGATCATTACTTTTTTGTTCACTCCATACTCAAGCAAAATTTTTGCTGGGGTCTGTGTTGAGTCCTTCCTGAGCGAAATTTAGTTCTTAAATGAGAATAATGAAAGAAAAATAATTAATGGAGAAAGGAGTAAAAGTACTGAAGATTATGTCAATACGCATACTATACACATAAGTTTACACTGCTTGTTCATTTAAGCACAAGATAATACAGAATAAGGTCAGGGAAAACCATCCCATATGCATCCCCAAAGATATCTGATATATCCAATGACAGCAGAGTCCTGTTTATTCAAAATACTTCTGGAACATCAAAACATTTGGATAAACAGGGCTTCAAATAATTGAGGGAGTTATTGTATAAGTAATTCACACCAGGGGGACATAACCTAGATTCAAAGGGCTGAGTTTCAGATCAAAGGGGTACAGATAAATTGGATTTGGCTTTATATGAACAAATAAAATAAACAACATTTGATTATTCAGGAATCAAGAAGTGTCCAAACATTTTCTCAAAAACAGTTTAGGACAAAATGTCAAATTGTTGTAATAGGCCATACAGAAGAATACTCCTATGGAATCAAAATAACATATCTAAATGAGACCAAAAGATATGGGAGTCTGGGGGGGGGGGGGAGGTTGGAGAGGGAAAGAGGAGGGGGGTAGTGTTTCTGTACATGCATGTGTATGTTTGTTTGTTTTGTTTTGTTTTCTAATCTCACTGATCTTCAGGATCAGTCAGGATCATATGAATTTTACCAAGTTTTCTAACCTTATTCCAACCATGACATTGACACATATTTTGTGATAGAAGGTGGGGATTTGTAACGTCTCTGTCTCAGTAACTCATTTTCCCAAATGCCCAACAGAAACAAGCTGTGAAATATACAAGTTTGGTCTTGGATGGACAATATTGTCTGATTGCTCATCTTTCTATTAATATCATGACCCAGATATGGTTCATCTACATGCAGACATCATAATCTCCTTTTAAATGCCTTTTAAAATACAAATCTTGGAATTAAAAAAGATGTTGATCCATGCTGGTATTCATCCTTGCATTATTAATATTGTGGTGTGGATACTTTGCTAATTTATACAACTAAACAGTATTTTCCTTTTTCCAAAAGCTATGCTCACATTCCTGTACTTAAGTGTTGTCCCTAACTGTCTGTGTAGGCGCCTTTTAACAGTGGGGGTGGTCAAACATTTAGGGGGAGTGAAAGGTCTGAAACCACGACACATTTTGATTCCCCTCAGCCCTTGATTTCTGTGGCCAACAGCCCAGTGGGGAGAAAGCTTCTCCCACCATGGTGCCTCATCTTGAGCAGCCCAATCCTGGCTTGGAAGCTATAGGGAAAGGAAGGGTTCTGAGTCATGCATGGGTGCCTCAAGTTTCAGAGGCATTTTTTCAACCATGTCACAAGACATATAGACTGTCCTGCTGAATCCATCCTGACATCTCTGGGCCTTGTGGTTGGGCTTTTCAGCCCACGGGTCTGTCAGTGCTGCAAGGGCCGAGTCCTGCGCCACACCTGGGGCAGGTTTGTTTTGTACAAAGGGCAGGCAGTGCCCTACGCCTTGGCCATGGGGCAGGTCTCTTAGGCCTGTCAGCTGCCTGTTTAGCTACTGTTACTACCACCCTACCCTACACCTCTCCACAGGAATGCTCATACAGCCTTCCCCCTGCCCTCTGGCCCCTGATGCCCCATTTGCCACTTTGGGCGGGAGAAGCTGCCACATCACTGCTGCTGCCGGCAGGGCCAGCTGCCTCCTCTCTGGTCCCCTCCTCTGGTACTGAGGCTCTGCCAGAGGCTGCAGGACAGAGGGGAGTGGAGCATGGCAGGGGGACGTGCCATCCCAGTTGTTGGTGTTATTTTCCCCAACTTTCTTCCGTCCTTCCATGGTGAGGGACTGTGGGGCAGGTGCATGAGATGACACACCAGGGCTCTGAGGGGAGAACACATGGGGCAGCAAGGACGGGCTTGTGGTGAGGTGGGGGAAGAACAACACTTAATGAAAGATACAGAGAAGGGAGCTTGTAGAAATGGCAATTTGGAGTTGAGCTTAGTAGCGGAGTGGGGGGAAGTAAACAGATGTAGGGGCTGTAGTGGGCTTTCCCTTGGAAAGTCACAGAGGCAGTCCTCAGTATGGAAGGAGTCTTGTGGGTGGTCACACAGGGTGAGGTCCAGAGGGAGAAGCTGAGGAATGGAGATGGTTTGGGGTGTTCTGGAGTTTGCTAGCAGGTTGCTGCAGTGATACAGTCTGGAAGTGAGTAAAGGTAAACCATAAAGAGCAAAGCAGGGCTTTTCCTTTCAAAGCAAATGTTTGTGCTTTCTTTCTTGAGCAGACAGGAGGATACACTGGAATTGGTTTAAGGTTTCAGTCTACTGGCCCAGTTTCTTCACACGTCCTCATCTTACTAACTCCTCTGCAATTTGGTAAGTAGAGTTGTCTGTGGTACAGGTAAAGAGCCAATTTCTAATGTTATTCCAAATTACAAGAGCAGCTGCTGTCTGGACATGTAAGTATTAAAAGAAGGTAAATTTCCGTCTTCAAAAAACCCAAATAAACCTGAAATAGTCTTCTCTCAGTGAGCAATAGATGAGGCTTGTTCAGGTTTTGCCCTCTCTTTACTCTCTCTTTTACAGGCTTGTCAAGACTTCCCTCTCTGACTTAAGAATGCTTGCTTTCTCTGTGTCTCAGTTGGAATTTGAACAGGAATCTGTTCATGAGATTTCAGTCTGGAGTGGAATAGGGAAGAGAAGGTAAAAATGGCACTTGGTAATAGTTTCAGCTTGATAGCCCTGGAGTCTGGCTGAAACTGTTGTCAGGTCCCGAATCCAGAAAATATATAGGCTTGTGCCAAATTGGAAGCAAATCTGCAGAATCTTTTATTTCATCCAGCTCCTTAAGCTCTGAAGGTTAAAGACAGGCGTAAATACTTGGACAAGAACAGTAAAAGTTTTCTTACACTGCAAGTCTGCAGCCTGTCGATCTAGCAGTCAGTCCTGTTACCATCTAATCCCTGGACTTTTGACTGAGTTTCTAATTAAGAGAGTGGCCATGCCATTTTTGATCTGTTCATCTAAGGACCTGAAGTTTATTTGGTCTCATAAAATTCAAAAGCAGCTCTGTCACTGAGTTCAATGTTTACAGGATTGACCCTGTTATTTTTATCTATTTTTTTAGTCTTCACCCCCTCCCCCCTTCTTCCCCAAGATTCTCTATAAAGGGTAAAACCCCCAGGAGATATAGGTCCTTCAGAATCAAACAGAATCAATGAATTTCCCAAGCTCATTTTCAGAATTAGGTTTTTTTCCCCTTTCCTATTTCCTGCCACAGTCTCGCCTTTTCTTTAACAATCTGAAACTACGGCTGCATAGTGGAGAAAAATTCAGAGGTTAAAAAAAGAAAAAAAAAAAAAAGGAAAGTGTATGTTATGGTCTTAAAATAATATACACATTAAACTATATTTAATTGTGCCTTATCAATAAGCTTAGGTGTTTGCTGTTGCCATTGGTCCTGATGCTCTGTAGCAGGCAGAGGCAGCAACTGCTGCTGATGGAAAAGAAAAGGTAGTGGAAGGAGGAGGGGAGAAGAAGGTGGGAGACGAGTGGATTGGCTGCTTTTAATGTCAGTCTCAGCTGCGGCCCCGGCTCTTCCGCTGCTCCAGCTCTGGCTCTCCCTTGAACAGCTCCCAGAGAGAACAAGGCGTGCGGAGCTCGGATCACCAGCATCATGCTCCTTGGGCTTGGATCGTAGATCCCCCTCTTTGAACATTAAAATAACTCCTTCGTCTTTCAGCGTCCCAAGCAGACCCAGCGAGAGAACACGCACGTGAGAGAGAGAGGAAAGAAAGAGGAGGAAGACGAAAATCTGCAACCAAGGGGACTAAAGCAGAGAAAAAGAGTGCTTTGCTTGCACAGCTGCAAAGTGGGAATTTAAAGAGCTGCAGAGAGAGAAATTCCAGCTCATCAGCACATACACATTGCAGAATTACAGATCCAGGTAGAAATGACATCAACAGGGAAAGAAGGCAGCGGAGCTCAACATGCACAATATGTTGGACCCTATCGTTTGGAGAAAACCCTAGGAAAAGGACAGACAGGTTGGTTCTTTTGCAGCAGCACCGGTGCTAGAGGGAAGGTGCTGTGGCAGCCAGTGAGGTGTCGGGGATGGGATATTTGAGGGTTCAGGTTTTCCCATTTGCTGGTTTAGTGCAGATAATATTCATAAGGGATTTTTGCATTTATTTATTTTAGTTTTCATTTTAATTATTTCTTTTTTTCTTTTTTTTTTTAAAAAAAAAGAAAAGGAAAAAAAAAAGCCCAGGGTGCTTTATGTTCATCACTCCTGCTAATGGGTGTTGTTCTAATGACAGGCAGAGTGCATGCAGAGGAAAAAATAGATGATCTGCTGGTGGTGAATTTTCACATCCATTTCTTCACTGCCCTACTTAGGAGCATTTTCTTTTTAATCAAATTATATTGAAATTAAAGGCTCACAGCCTGTAGTACCGAGGAGGTGGTGGTGGTGGTAGTGGGGGAGTCACCAGCAGTATTTCATGACATCATGATTGAAAAGGGTGTAGTCCTTAAGGTGCAGTTGGGGGTGGTGGAAATACGTACAGTATGTCTCTGGCACTGACTGCTGTGGGTATTTAGCAAATATGGATGGATGGGCTAGTGGTTTTTGTGGGTAGGGTCTGAAATAAAAGAAAAATAGAGGATTGGTAGCAGAATTCATTCTGGTTATGCTATGTTTTTGTAGGAGGGATTGGGAGGGGGGAAGGGAGGTTATTTAATTATTTTTCTTAAAGCTTGTTTATGAAACTCGCCCCCAGCAGATTTTCCTGAATGGAACAATGGTAAGAAATATTAAAAAGAGGAAACGGAGTGCAGGGAATTAGCAGAGAGCAGGTGCCTCTGCCCTACATGACATAATTAGATCCCCTAAGTGCGTTCAAGATGTGGACTTACTGTTGCTTGCTTGGATGGCATATTCACTTCAAGGGCAGGGGAGCATTAATTGGAAGAAAAACCCTAAAAATGAAGCTCAAATGTCTTCCTTTTTTTTCTTTTTTCTTTGTTTTTTTTTTTTTTTGTTTTTTTTTTTTTTTAGTAACAGGTGCAATAAGCAATGGCATCTGGCAAATTCATTGGGTTGGGAGCCCCCCAAAAGTGGATTGAGACTCGAGATTATTATTTAGGGAAGGGGTAAGATCAGCCATAGGGGGGCTTCTTTGGGCATGTGGGTGTTAAGTGTTGTTCATTATGGTGGGACAATAAAACATGATGCATTGTGGTGTATTTTTTTTTTTTTTTTATAACCCAGCCGAGCTTTGCCCATCTGTTGTCTAAAGGATTTAATAGGCGTTTCCAGCCCCAGCTGCTGCCTCTGCTCTGCCTGCTTCCTCACTGCCCTGCGTGGCAGCAGCTCTGCAGTCCGCAATTTTCTTAGGGACACAGTCAAAATCCAGATCTTTCTCTGTAAGAAGCAATGCTCTTCTGAGATGATTGATTATAACCTCCCCCCCATCCTTCCCCTCCTCTTCACAACCCCATAGCAACCGTTCAGAGACATGGATGAAGATGACATTGTCTTCTAGTGGAAGTGACTTTTATTTATATTTTATTTTTTTTTCCAATCTCTTCAGTGTATCAGCTGCTAAAGGTAGTTCTCTGTCACTGTTTTAGGTACCACCTTTATTCTTTGCATAGCTCAGTAAGTCTTCTGCAGCTGTATTCTTACCAAAATCTGTTCTGATGATGATAATGAAAATATGAGAAAAATTGCAGTGTATTGTTATTAAAACTGCCCTATTTTCTGCTGATATCCTTTCCTGGATACTCCAGGTGATCAAAGAGCTAGCTGTAGATGACAAATTCATTTTTGTCTTCATCACCATTTCCTTTTTTCTCTCCCTTACATTCTCAGCACCCCTCCCTCCCCTTTAAATACAATTGTGCTTGAGGTTCCTGAAAATACAGCTGCATTAACCTTTTGCTCAATGTTCTTATAGCCTGACGTTGTGGTCCTAAAGGGTTATCTGCAGCTTTGGTTATTTTTTTTCTTCTCTGCTAATCTTCCTATCTTCCTCCTAAGTGATTAGAGACATGGGGGTGGAGGGAGAACAGGATGTATTTAGAGGCTTGCTGCTGTTGGCCTCTGCAGTTATTGAACCAGCTGGACAAGGGTGAAAGTTTCCTTTTGCAGTTTTACCGTATAAGTGATCTTTATAGATAAAGTCTCTGCTCTTTGCACACACGAATGCACATGAAATGCACAATGCATGGTGTCATAGAAGCTGGAGGTGGGGGGAAGAGGAAGAGAAATTTTAAAAGCAGGTGATGTCAGTCTGTGTCTCTCTTGTTATACCTGCCCTTGATTAATGGAATAATGCACTGAGGTGAAATCTAACTCAGTATTAAACATACATGGCTAAATATGGAAATATGCCTTCTGGTCTTCTCGCATTTTCTGTGCTAATCCCATTTTGGAGTATGCAGAATGGCATGAACAGTGTGTGGCATGTAGCTCGTCTTCATCCTGCTTGTTTTGGAGGGTAAGCAGGCAACCTGCAGCATTTTAGGAAGAGGACAAGCAGTGCAGTATGAGGGCCTGATTCGCCGTAGTATGTTGTCATGGTGTGTGTTTTTGCATTTGGGTTGCAGTGGCATACAGATGAAGAAAGTAGTGGTTGTAATCATTTCTTTGGAGCTTGACTTTAAAGCTTGAAAGATTAGGACATAATGGCTTGGAATGTTTGTTTTTTTTTTTTTTCCCCCCAAGGAGATGAGAAGAGTGAGAGAGAAAATGTGGCAAAATGTGATGATGAATAGAAAGAAAGTATAAGTTGTATTGCAAAGTCCTGTCCATTTTGCAGTGATCTTCATACCCATCATTTTTATTTGGAATGAAAAATTACTCTATACATTTATTTCAGATAGGCAGATCTAGCTTTGCTCCCAGATACATTAATATTATACAAATGGTTTTAATCACTCTTACCTGCTTTTACTGAGATCAAAAGAAGGGGCTTTTGGGAAGGAGTGTGGGTTCATTCATAGTTCAGAGCAGACTTAGAAAGGATGCCGTGGAGGGAGAACTTAATGGTAAGTAGAGCTCTCACTGGCTTGCTTTCTGAGAAGTTCTCACTGATTGCCACCTTAAAAGCTGAAAAAAAGCGTTTACCAACAGCAGCCTGCGGGTCCCTGCAAAGAGGTCCAGTTGCGGTGTCTGGGACTTCAGTGGAACCTGGTGACATCTGGCTGTGGGTGGGCAAAACTGACATGGAAAAGCCTTCTGTTCAAATTGGTGGGTAACAACTGAAATAGTTGATTGATCAGATATGCAAAATTTGTCCTGAGCAGCCTTCTGGGCTGGTGCGTCACGCTCGCTGAGGGTGAGTGATGCCACAAAGAAGGGATTAGGGCCTCTTAGACTGAGAAGTTGAAAGAGGGTTACATTGCTGCTAGTGGGAATGAAAATGATTTTTAATAATGCAGCACATAAATTTAGCGTCTACTTTGAGTACTGTAGCAAGATGGTTTGCTTTTGTAATAGGTTGAATTCAGAGCTCCTCTTATTGGTGGCATCTGAAGGGATAGCTCATGGAATCTTTATTTGAATGATTTCACAAGAATGCAAGAAGCATCATAATCTTGATTATTGTACTCAAAAATTATTTTACAAAACTGTCAGTGTAAAAAAAAAATCACTGCTGTATAAATATGGGTGTGTGGGGAAAGGTCAGTTTATCTCAGTTTCATTGATACATTCTTTTACAGTTAATTATAGGAGGTTTTCATTGTAATTAGCAGTAATGAACAAAGGATGTGTGTCATGTTATGATAACACACGTGGAAATAGTGTGCCTTGAGAAGCCCCAGTCACACCTGATTATAAAGCAGTCTTAGGCAAAATAGAGGATTCTCTACATTTGCCACTAATTTTATGTGAAATCAGCTTCTTGCATACTCCTTGCTTTATTTTTTCAGAATTCTACAGTTATCTCTGTTCATGTGTTTCTTTTGGCCTCATTAACCCCTATTTCACCCTTGAAACTCTCAATAGTAATTCAAATTGACTGTAGTGAATATTTATTAATGAGTGCAAAGATGAGGAACTTGTGCTTCTTGTGAAGGTCTTCAGCATTTTGGAGGGTTTCCTTGTATTTTTATTTGACAGTCACTGTATGGGCTTCAGCATCATTGTTTGTCATAGCACCAATTCAACATCTAGTTGAAATTTCTAAACTGCTGCTTTGTCTACAAGCAGTAAGACATTAGCTCTAAGTGGGAGTTACCCTACTCACTTTGAGATAAACTTCATGAAAAATTTAATGTTGCTTATCCATTTTGTCTTATTCCTTTCATTTTGTTTTAAGCCTGGTACAAAGAGTCCTGCCTGAAACTCACGATACTTTGACCTTTGCTAAAAGTGGAGGGGTTCCCTTTTCTGCATTGTATCCTAAATAGCTGTAAGCTGTGTATATAATACGTATAACAATTATATGTGAGCCATGAGTGAGGTGTTCAGCAGTGTGCTGCTGGGTTATGTAAGAACAGAAGTCATTAAATTTGGGGTTTAGAGCATTTAATAGCCTTTTATTTAGTGAGAGCTTAAACAGGATGTTTCTTTACAGCCGTAACCATCTGTTTCCATGACACTGGTAGAAACTGAAATTTATTAATTTTTTTTTTATTTTTGTCTATCAAATTTGGTTGAAAGTGAAAGCTTCAGCTCTCTTCAAGGGGTGTTGGGGTAGTCAGTGTGATCTCAGAAGCCTGGTTTCCTTAGGTAAGTAAGCTAAACAGAGTATATCCTTTTCATTCATACTGCTGTAATTTTTTTTCTGACCTGGTGTATTGGGTCAAGAGTCAATCTGAAGAGTACATCTTTCTTCCGTTTAGCTGTCTAGATGAATATATCATTGTAAGAGGTGTAAATCGTGGTAGTTTTCCTCATGGCCTTTTTAAACACTCAAACAAACAACAAATCAGTATATATACTAATAATGTTTTCATACATGTACTTTACTTTCCTTATGAAAGTTTCTTTCAAAACAGTGAATCCATACCCTTTGTCTTGATAGTCTGTGAAGAC